TCTATGATATTTTTACTATATACGCGTTAATATACAAAACTTATCTGAAAATTATATTTTGTTTGACTAACTAAAGTCAAAGATATTCAATCCAAATATTTCTATTGACTGAAAGGCGAATAATAAGTTAAATAGAAATAGCGTAATGAAAATAAATAGCAATCCGACTAAAGATAAATAAGAATGGCATTGAATACAGTCGTAGTTTGATTATTTCTTTGCAATTATGTTTAAAAAGTTAAATTTTGTCTAACATTCAAAGAAACACAATTTTTTTTTTTAAATCCTTAAATATGATTTGCAAAATTATAATGTGAAGCAAAAACATGATATAATAACTTACAAATTTTATATATTAATTAATTAAGAAACTTTTTTGTGTGTTTTTGGGACGTGAAACATAAGATATTAACATGTAAACGTTAATGTAGACGCAAGGACAAACATTTATGCTTTGAAGAATCAAAGATTACTCTCCAATATCATCGAGCCTTGTCAGTTTAAAATTCCTACCATGATGCATGTATTCCTTATAGTGAATGTTAGTTTGCTCCAGAAATAGAAAATGATACTAATGTTGTAATATTCAGAAATTGGAAATGGTGCTCGTGGGAAACTTTTAATATAAAATGTATTTGAATTTTTGGGAATCTCTTTTGAAAGAATTTACATATGTTAAACCTTTTTTTTTAACGTCTAATTCATTGCATAAGTAGTTCTTACATAATCATAGTCGTGAAATCATGAAGTGATTCCTTTGCTAAAGAGTCTGCCAACATGTTGGTAGGTCGCGCAATATAAGAAAAAGAGATAAATGAAAACAGAGATGACATGAATTTATATCATGGAGGTTTTCCGAAATTTTCTTGATGTTTTCACCTGTTTTTATAGCTCTGATGAGGTTTTGCGCGTCGGATTTGATACAAATGTTGGACCTATATGTAAGTAAGTAGTTTCAAAACGAATGATTTGACTAAAAATTGTCTCTAGTACAAAATAACTGAAAAATTATAATGCTGACCTTATTCTCATTGCAAACACTTGTATAGATCTACGAACGGATAATCTTACATAACATTGCAAAAGTGGCATCAGAACCAAAACTATATTGTAGTGGAGCCCTACAAATCGACCACATAGACAAAGCCATAAGATCGATTCTTACGCAAAAATGGAAACATTTCACTCACATAGCTAAAACGAAAAAAGACAAACAAAAATACACTCATATATTCATATACGCTAAAGGCCAAACACTCTTACAACAAAAAATCTACAATAACATAAAATACTCCAAATACAAAAAAAAAGATAATATTAACAATCACACCCCAATCTTTTGACATTTAACAACATCACCACTATCACCACAAACATTTTCGAAATCAACGTCACTAACATCACCAAGAACGATCACATTATCCTCTACTGTCTTCCTCTTCGGCTTCGCCTCTTGAAGAATCAACAAAACATCTCTCATCGGCGGCCGATCTGTCGGATTTTTGCTTGTGCACAACAAAGCAATCCTCAACATTTGTTTCATCTCTTCTCTTGTGAGACTACACGACCTACCCATGCTTTTGTCTAGAACATCTTCTACATCTTCTTTCGTCTTCAACTTCGATCGAACCCAATCTACGATACTATTACCTTCCCCAAACTCCGGCTCCACAGATCTTTTTCCGGTGATTATCTCCAATAATATCACTCCATAACTATAGATATCACTCTTTTTATCCACTTGTAGAGTGTATGCATATTCTGTAACCAAAAACAATATTAGATTTAGTCAGAGGTTGTCCACACAAACAAAAGGAATGTTTAACAAAGGGACAAAAATAAATAAATTTAAAATTTGGGGGCAAAAAAGTAAGAGAAAAAGAAAAGTGAGGGTACCTGGAGCAATGTAACCGTACGATCCGGCGACGACGGACATGGATTCATCGGTTTGAATCAGTTTCGCGACGCCGAAATCCGCCACACGAGCTTCGAAATCGGCGTCGAGGAGTATGTTGCTAGGTTTCAGATCACGGTGGACAATCACTGGATCACAGTCATGGTGGAGATAACAGATCCCTTGAGCTACTCCGATCGCGATCTGGTATAACGCCGTCCATTCCGCCGCCGCGTTAGTCGTTTTATCGCCACCGTGAAGAAGATCGTCTAAGCTTCCGTTAGGCATGTATTCGTATAGTAGCATCGTGCATTCTCGATTCGAGCAGCATCCAAGGAGACGGACGATGTTCCGGTGACGTACGTTCCCTAAAACATCGACCTCCGCAAGTACGCCGCTCTTCCGCCGCCGGATCTTCCCGTTCTCTTTGTTTTTTCCCCAGAGCTTTTTCACGGCGATGATTTCTCCGTTTGGCATCTCGGCTTTGTAGACTGTTCCGGTGGATCCCATTCCGAGGATGTTATCGGTCTTTGAAAGACACTCAACGACATCATCCGCCGTGAAATTCAGCCTCTGAAACGCGGTTAGCTTCCACGGTCCTATCTCTCCACCGCCTCTTCGACCGTCGACTTTGTTTCCGTAATTCTTCTGGAAACATCGAGTGGCGGCGACAAGGACGAAGAATCCGACTCCAATCGCCGCCGCCATAATCCATACAATAGCTCCGGCTGTTTTCTTCGGTCGCTGATCGTTATGATGACCGTCGAGATCCGCTTCTCCGTCGTTGACCGAGTCAGAATCGCAAGGTTTCGTGATTACATCTCCGCATAGACCTTCGTTTGAAGAGAAGAAGGAAGGACTCAGATGGGAGAACGAACCGCTCGGAATCGGACCGACTAGGTGATTGTATGAAACATTGAAGGTGGTGATGGTTTTGGAGCTACCGAAATCCGACGGGATTGTTCCGGTCAATAGATTATGAGAAAGATCTACATCGGCGATTGAAGGTAGCTTCGAAATCTCCCATGGAATGATCCCGGAGAAATGATTTTGGCTGAGAGTTAAACATAGGAGCTTCTCGCAGTGTCCGATGTCCCAAGGGATTGTTCCGTTGAGTGAGTTTCCTTGAAGTTCAATCTTGTAGAAGCTTTTGCATCCAACGAAATTTGGGATTTCTCCGATCAAATCGCTGAAACTCGCTGAGAAGATTTGTAGATTCGGAGCTTTCCATATGTTTTCCGGTAATCGACTGTGGAAGGAGTTGCTTGAGAGATTCAAGTACTGAAGAACAGGAGCGGTGGCGAAATCCGTGGGAATTTGATCGGTGAATCTGTTGTTGCTGAAATCGACGTAAGTGAGATTATGCAGAGAGCCGAACCCGAAAGGGATGGTACCGTTTAATCGATTGTTCTGAATCCGAAACCTCCATAGAGAATTGCATCTTGTCAAGCTCTTTGGTAACTCACCTTCGAACATGTTGGAGAAGAGGATGAGCTTGAACAGCTTGTTTCCATGGCAGAGAGAAGGAGGGATTGTTCCGATGAAGGAATTGTTCGAAACATCCATCGCCGCGAGGTTTCCGTTTGATCCAAGCTTCTGTGGTAAAACTCCGGTGAAGTTATTGTTCCATAAGAGCAATGTTGTTAGCTCAGGGAGTTCACCGAATCCTTCAGGGACTTCACCTGAGAAGTTATTACTCATTAAGCTAAGCCATGTGAGGTTCTTCAAAGTCGAGAAGCTTTCAGGGATATTCCCTGAAAGCTGATTATTTGACACATCTAAAGACTTTAGAGCTTTCAAGTTGCTAAAACTCTCCGGGATTTCGCCAGTGAAACCGTTGTAAAAAAGAAGCAAAGTCTCGAGCTTGGAGAGATTTCCGAGTTCTTGAGGCAGAGTACCAGAGAGACTGCAATTGGAAACGTCCAAGTACTCAAGATTCGAGAGTAACGAAAACTCTGAAGGTATGTTTCCGCTAAACTGATTATAACCGATTTGGATGTGTTGGACCTCCGATAAGAGCCCCAATCTCGAAGGTAATTCACCTCCGAGAACATTTCCGGCTAAATAAATAAACTTCAATCTCTGTAAACCACCGTAAGCCGCAGGAATCTCTCCTTCGAAGTAACTCCCACCAAAGTTAAGCTCTTCCAAGAAACGAAGACGAGATACGTCACTAGGCAAAAGACCTTCGAAGCTGTTGCTATACGCATTAAGGATTCTCAAGAACTTGAGCTTGGAGATTCCGGGAGGGAAACTCGAGTCGAACGAGTTATGGCTAATGTCGAGAGTAGTGAGCTTTGTGAGATCAAAGAGAGAAGTCGGTAACGGACCCTCTAAAAAATTCCCACTTAGATTCAAGTAGAGTAAGCTCGACAAGTAACGAATCTGTTGAGGAAGACGACCAGTGAGGTTCCTGTGAGAGAGATCGAGGGAAATGACTTGAGACGTTACATTGTCACAGAGGACACCGGACCAAGAACACCAAACGCTGTCGTTTTGAGTTGCAGCCGAGATGTTCCAGTCTTGAAAAGC